AGAATAGAAGTAACTCCCCTCTGTACCTGTCTACTGTACAGGGCTGCTAAACTTAACTGTGACTCCCCAAGCAAACAACTAGACCACTTAATTACTTGATCCAAGGATTTCCTCTGTCTTAACGTTATCTGACCAAACCATGACACTAGAGAAAACAATAAAATAGATTCAATAAAAGCTCGATAAAACATATTCATTAAGGTTCGGTCAATATGAAAATATGCCAGTTTCCTTGAGCAATGTAGACGTTGCTGACCCTTTTTACACACCATTTCACATTCATTCATGCATTTTGTACCATTTGTTCCCTGAGCGAGGGTTACGGGGGGGGGCCGGAGCCAATCCCGGCCGGCAATTGAAGGCGAGGTAGACCCTGGACAGGTCGCCAATCCATCGCAGGGCTAACACATAGACGAACAACCACACACACGTACATGACAGGAAGCTACAGTCACCGCTAAAAATTTCGGTCAATATGAAAATATGCCAGTTTCCTTAAGCAATGCAGACGTTGCTGACCCTTTTTACACACCATTTCACAGTTCTCCTCAAAACTCAATTTGCTGTCAATGATTGTCCCCAGATATTTGTATGTTTGCACATATTCAATAGTCTGTCCTTTAATTAAAGTGACTTCGTGCCTATGAGGTTTCCTCCTAAAATCTATGAGCATATCTTTACTTTTTGTTGTATTTAGTTGCAGATAGGATTCCTCACACCAGTGGACAAAATCCTCAATGACTGAACCATGGCTACTTTCACCATCACTGAGGAGACTAACAATAACTGAGTCATCAGCATACTTTATAATAGTTCTATTGTCACATCTACTCTGACACATATTTGTGTAGAGAATAAAAAGTAAAGGTGACAACACACACCCTTGAGGAGAACCAGTGGAAGAACCCCTCTGGTCAGATAATATGCTGTTGACCTTTACTCTTTGTGTCCTGTTGATTAAAAAAAAATCCAAAATCCAACCTACCAGATTGTTACTCAAATCAAATGGTTGTAGAAGCCTTTCAATTAAAATGTGAGGCTGTATTGTATTAAAAGCAGAAGAAAAATCCATCCACTCCTCTGTGAGGCCTATATGCAAACTGCAAAGGATCCAGTACATGTTCAGTCTGCCTCAGGACCTCCGATCTGACCAGCCTCTCAAAAATCTTCATCAAAACTGGTGATCGTGCACCAGCTGGGAGAATGAAGGCTCAGGCTCAGTCTCACCCAAAATCCCCGCTAATGTTTGAAACATGTCCAAAATGCCTCTGTTGACGCGCCGTCCCCACAAATCCAGTTTGGCTTTAAATGCAGCTACTTTATCTGCCAACTTGAAGACAGTTGTCATTTTCCCCTGAAGTGACAGATTGAGTTCATTGAGCAGGATGAATATGTCGCACAAGTAAGACAGTTTTGGCGCTCAAGTGACCGAGATGTAACCGAGAGAATGCGGTCATTTTTCAAAATATTTTATTTACTTTTACCGCACAGAATGCTTTTTTGACGTCCTGCAACTCAATCTTAAAATGCAGAGTGTCTCTAAGTTTCTGTTTCAGTGGAGGGTGTCTTTGAAAAACCCGCCATGTACTGTTAAGTTTACTGTTTTTCCACACGCCTACTGTAACTTCTTGCATTATTGTTTAATTATTTTCACTCCAAGTTTGTGTTTAAGGTTCATTTGTGATGTTTTTACAGTTACATTTTTGTGTTGTTTCATTGCAGAAAAGTGAAATTTACCAAACGCTGATGTCTTCCTGGCCAGTATGTATGTTTTAAAAATAAATGTACATGAAATCTACTTTTCCTGAACCAAAAACAGGTGAAATTTGGTCAAATTTCCTTTAATGATCAGTGTTTTGTTATCACATTATGTGACTGAGAAAAATTAGTTGAAATCCAGTCAGTCTAGACTGCAACAGCATATTGTAACATTACTTTATATTCAGTCTGTGTAAAAATAGTATGACCAAATGTCTGTCTAGTGGTTACATATTGCCATATACAGTATATACCACAAAGAGATGCTGAGGCTTAAGACATTGTTTTCCATCTTCAGAAACTGAAGGGGCCCATGGGGCCTCCTGGACCTCCTGGAGATGATGGGCCAGTTGTAAGTAGACAACTATGTAGTGGGTCATTTGAAAAGGCAACGTTTAAACAGTATTTATACCATGACAATAGCATAAGGAGTTTTTAAAGGGCTCCTATGGCTCATTTTGTATTCCAGGGACCACTTGGAATTACTGGAAACCAAGGACAGAAAGGAGTTCAAGGGGAAATTGTAGGTATCACTACTTTATTTTCCTCTGTTCATGAGTCTCCACTGGGGTTTATTTTGCTAGCATATGTGCTTCAGCACACACCACTTTAGTATTACAGATGGGTGACAAATGAAAGGAAGGTGTCTTAGTAAGGTGCTGGGCCACCACATTCCACGTTTGCTGCTCAATCACAAAGCATTTCATCACATCACAGGGTCACAGTGGACACAAGTTATACTCATATACCCATACTCTACACAAAAAAGAAGAAAAAGTCAAATAATCAGCGGACAACTCCAGCTCAGACCAGCTGATCAACCTACATTACTTGTTTAGTAATTTGATGGCTTTTGGGACAGATGACAAGTTGTCCAAATGGCAACAATGTGAATGAAGGGGAAAGGGGATGCCTTTTGTCCTCCACAATGTTTTAAAAAGATATTCCCTCGTTTTGTGTTTTGATGATGGTGGTGGAAAGCACTGTATAAAATTTTGGTTCAAAATCTCCCATAGATGTTCAACTGGGTTGAGATCTGGTAACTGTGACGGCCACAGCATATGATTCATATCATTTTCATACTCACTAAACCATTCAGCACCCCATCATTTCCTATTAATGGGGGCACTGTCATCCTGGAAGACACTACTGTCTACTGTTTGATTAGACAGTTGGCAGTGCTAAAAGTCATGTACAGCACATTACACTATTTACATTGCATTCCCTGTGACATAAATTCCACATTAACAGTAACTTGTATGATTTTGACTAGTAATACACTGAATTGACTCATTTACACAGAACATCATGGAATAATGTACATGTAATGCCAACTAGGTGATTACTATGTTGTATGGTAGTCGCTAGGGTGATGCAAGTGGTTGATAAGATGTTGCCAGATAGTTGATACATCCAGCATCAAAGCAGTTGTTGGGGTGTATTAGGTATTTGCTATGGTGAATTTGGATGGTTGGTAAGGTTTTCATGTGCTTGCTGGGTTTTCAGGGTTATTGTCTTAAGATTGTTAAGTAGTTGCATGAGAGAGTTGTTGGAATATTGTTGGGGTATGTGAGTTGTAATTATGAGGATTCTGGGTGGTAGCTCGGAGTACTTATTGGTTTTGAGGTTTTATTATGTAAGTGAGTATGCACAACAAGGGTTCTCAAAATAAGAAAATAATAGATGAAGTGGAGGAAAGAAATGCCTTGATTCAGAAAGCTACTTCATCCAATACCCCTAAACACTAGGACTGGGCCTGGTTATTCAACTATTCACATACAGTATATGTCCTTTCGGTAGGAATTTTTGAATATATGCTGAGTATTACTACTGAATCTCCAGAGCCCAAAAATGGCCATCAGGACAGCCCTACTAAACACATAGTTATGTTACATACCAACAATTCAAAAAATATAACGCAATGGGATGGAAAACAGAACTGTTTAATTAACTATGCAATACTGTATTTCTGCAATGAAACTTTTTATGGGACCAAACACAATGCATTACATGTTGGGCTGTACTCCAGGGCAGTCCTGGACCACAAGGTATTCCAGGTCCTCAGGGCCGACCTGGGAGAGATGGGACACCAGGAGAGGACGCTGACCCAGGTCTGCCAGGTTTACCTGGCAAACAGGTAGATCTACTCAGATGCATGCAAAAGATTTGTGTTTTTATAACCGGAATACTGTCAAACTAGTGTTTAATATCATGTTATACGTGCAGTAATTTCAACTTATATGTGCAGTCATGTTGGGGGTTGATAAATTCACTTTGTGCTTGTTTCAACAGGGTCCCAAAGGCTACAGAGGAGAGAAGGGTAACAAAGGGGAGCTGGGTGAGTGGGTAAGACTGGCCTGCACTTCTACTGTTATGGGAATTTATGAAGGCCTGAGTATATACAATATGTGTATCCATCTCTTGGTCTAAATCTAAGTATTGTTGCATTTAACTTTTTTTTGTAGCTCCCTCACACTCTTTTATTGCCCATATTCACATTTCAAATTGTTAACACTAGGTAATACAGAAGCTTTGTATATCTGCAAAAATGTCAGTACTCTGGTGAAGATTGATTTTATTTGTATACATTGGTCAAATCCTATTTTTTCTGTTTTTAGGGTTATCAGGGGGAGGCTGGACCACAGGGAGACAGAGGGCGAAAAGGAAACAAGGTCAAATTCAACATCTGTCACACATACACACACACATACACACACATTTTGTCAGTTATAAAGAACTGGTAAATTTAATCTGTAATGTATATGTCTGTAACCAGGGAAATAAAGGTGTCAGAGGCCTTGTTGGGCTCCCTGGCTACATAGTAAGTAAGGATGACTTTACTATTTAATGATGGCCCTATAATTCTAAGTTATTATAAAGACCAGTTCTTAATATACTATTTTATCCTGCGCTGAAAAACAATTATTTTGGTTTATATTTATATTTTTTAAGTGATCATTAAAATTATTTTTAAAAATTGCAATACCTGAATTGTTCTGCCATTACAGGGAGTGGCCGGAGCCAGGGGTCCTTCTGGTTTTCCAGGACCATCAGGACCTCTGGTCAGTGCCACACTGCTCACTGGGTGAAAATTATCCACAGCTTTATAAATAACAATATCAATCTAAATATTCCACATCTTGGTCACAGCTGTTGTTGTGTTTTACTGATTTCAGGGAGAGATTGGATCTCCAGGCTTTAGTGGACCACCAGGCCCACCTGTATGTTACAATACACAATATATAGTATTACTACAAAAACATCACACAAGATCAAATTATTGTTTTGGAGTAAATAATGAGCCACTGTTAATTTGTTTACTCAGGGCAAACTGGGCCCCAGAGGACTTAAAGGTGTCTTAGGAGTTAAAGGACCCCCAGTAAGTAAACAAGTTGTAATCCAAACTGAATGATAAAAAGTTATTTATAAAACAATATTTTATGCTGTTAGGGTCATCAAGGTGAACTGGGTGCCAGAGGAGCTGTTGGACCACAGGTGACCGAATACTTACAGATGCAGTCTAAATGATGATAAGTCTATGACGTTTACTTAATATTTTTTCAACCTGTATGTGATGTTCGTCCACTGGTTCAGGGAGAGTCAGGTCCTGATGGAACAATTGGATCTCCTGGCGTCCGTGGCCCCCAGGTACAATAAGACCTTCTGAAACATTTCATTCTGGTTTAGTCAAAGTCAAAAACAGAGTCCCTATGTTACTGTAAGGTGACTTGTATTTACAATAGCTGAGAATTTGACTTGGTTGTGTGCAAACCATGGAAATGAGACTAAAATGATAAAGTTGTGCATGAAAAAAGTTGCATCTTTTTGAAATAGAAAAATATTTTATGTTTGTTTGGTGGAGATTCTTCATACATACAGTTGAGTGCAAATATTTGCATCCCCTTGAAATGGCAAAAAGAGTGAAACAAAGAATTTTTTTGTCATCATCATAATATTAATGAACAGCTAGTACAAATGTTCCAAACAAAAATGGTCAGGGAGGGTATAAAAAGAAAGTTACAGTAAAATAATGAAAATGCTTGTGTGGTAGGTTGACTCTGAGCGAACAGGAATGTAGGAGACAGACTCGAAAAAGACATCAGGTTTTCTCAAATCAGTCATTTATTTTAAACAAGTGCCAGCAAAGCACACATGCCAAACAAAATCACTAAACAAACTAAATGGTTTAACTTCACATAACTGAAGAAAACTCAACTCAAAATAACTCAACGCAACTTACAGGCAGGTGCACACCGCTACACTGAGACTGCCGTACTCCCAGCTGCTCCACCTTAGCTGATTAAGTCGCTCCTGGTACCAATTAACCCTATGACATCCTTGATGACATCAGAGAGTGTACGAAATAAGGAAGTGATTAACCTAGTAAATACAATCAAACATTTAACACACAGGTTAAGGCATTAGGAAACATACATGATTTAACCTAGGGACAAGTGGAGTGTTCTCACCCACTTTGTCACAGCTTGGTTGTCTGCTATGTCTGACCCTCTTCAAGTCGGTCCACAGGTTTTCTGTTGTATTTAAGTCTGGAGACTGGGAAGGCCATGATAAAACCTTCACCCTCTTCTTTTTAAACCATTCCTGAGCTGACTGCTCTCTGCTTTGTCTTGCTGAAGGATTCATTACCTCTTCACTTTTAGCTTTCTGGCTGATGGTAGGAGGCTTTGCTTTAAAATCTTTTGATTTTGGGCTGTGTTCATTCTTCTTTTCACTTTATGCAGAGCTCTAGTGCCTGATACAGACACCCCCAAAACATCAGCGAGCCTCCTCCATGTTTCACTGTGGGAATGGTCTTCCCTCATCACAGGCAGTATGTTTGTTCTTGCCACGCATACCTGTGTGAATTATGGCCAAATAATTCAACTTTGGTCTCATCCGACCACATAATCTTGCTCCTTACCACACTCCAAGTGTGCTGCCTTATGTCTAAAAGTAAGTAAAGGCTTCCTGTGTGCTTTTCTCCCAGACAATCCAGTTGTGCAGACTACGCTTGACTGTGGAGATGTGGAATCTTATTCCATTTGTCTCTAAGGACTTTTTCAGGTCCCCTGCTCTTTGTTTTGGATTCCTACACAACTCTTGAGCGCGTTTCCTAGCACCTCTTTCAGTTATGTCATCACTGAAAACCTGTACTAGCTGAATGTGTACAAAATATTATGTTGATGAGAGAAATTCTTTGTTTTACTCTTTTTATTATTTGAAAGTAAGGGGATGCAAACTTTTTCACAAACTGTAAGAACAAGAGTCATATTTCCCAGACTGATCACAAGAAAAAAGATAATGTTTCTCACAGGGAGAGCGAGGACCAGATGGACCTTCAGGTCCTAAAGGTGACGCTGTGAGTATACTTTAGAAAAAGAGATTAAAACTCATGATGTGGCATTGTATTGCAGTTTTAATGTTTTGGTTTTTCTGTCATCTGCCGTCTGTGTGTTGAACCAGGGTGAGACAGGAATTGAAGGAGAAATAGGAGAACCAGGACCACCTGGACTTAATGTAAGACATTGAGGGCAAAGTCTTTTTGGGGGGTGACATTAACTGCATTAAATGCAATCATGAGTTTGTCATGTTGGAGCATGAGTTTTTTTGTTTTTCTTTCTTGTTACAGGGAGCCAATGGGAATCCAGGAAAGCCTGGACCCTCAGGTGATCCCGTAAGACTACTTAAAGCAACTTCAGTATTGACTCGAGTTAAAGTGTTTACATCAATTATAATTTATGGAAATATTTAATGATCTTATTATGTGTTTACTTATTTTTCTCTTTATGTATGAACGTGTGTACGTATGTGTGCACCTTTCTCCACCAGGGGGCTAAAGCCAGGCGTGGTGACATGGGTAATCCAGGGTTTAAAGGAGACCTGGTGAGTTTGAGCCTTCCTATCTATTAGTCAGTACGTTGCTGATCAGTTTATTGGCCAGATCAGTGAATCAGTTCAACGTCTTGATATGTTTGCGTACAGGGACCTCCAGGGCCACCAGGTAAACAAGGGTTCAAGGGGCGTAGAGGCCCATCAGGATTTGAGGGGCTAGTAGGACCACCTGGACTTGAGGGCGCTCTTGGACACAATGTGAGTGAAATAAACAAGATGAGCAAAGACTGGGTCATTAACAATACTAGAGTGACTCTAAGTTTTGTTTTGTACCTGCCTCCATTACTGTAGGGCTTTGATGGCATCATGGGGGAACAAGGGAAGCAGGGAAAAGATGGACCAAAGGTCAGTTTGAGAAAGTTGTTGTAATCGTGTCTAGAATGTTGTTGTCTTTTGAAAAGTAAATTTTGTACAACTGAGCATGGGTATGCATGTTTGTTTTTGTAGGGACATCGTGGACCAACTGGTATACAGGGAGTTCCTGGGCCTCGAGGCAACAAGGTAGGTCATGTGAAATAAGAACAGCAGTGATAAAAGATTAAAGTTTTTTCTGTTACATTTTCATTTGCATTAATTTTTCAATTAATATGAGAGAGATGGAATTTATTTTTTGTGATATAACTCTAAATGAGTTCCAGAAGTTGATTATAAGAAAGAAGATCCAATGAGCAAAGTACTACTGATAAACTCAAGTCATCACAGGTGTCAGTCTGCCCTTTTTTGACCTGACAGTGTCTGAGCTGATGGTATTGAGCTCTTTTATTAACATGGAGTTATTTTCAGCAAATATTAAATCCTGATCAATTATGGGCATGTTTCCTGTCAAAGGGTCGAAAAGGTCGAGCAGGATTTTCTGGATTGCCTGGTCCTTGTGTGAGTACGAGTGAGTGGAGTATAAGTTGAAAAAAGATGCCCATCAATGTGGAAAATCACTACCTGAATATGTTGTTTTGTTTTGTTTTTTTCAGGGAGAGATGGGAAAATCCGGAGAGAGGGGCCTTGAAGGAGACCCTGGTATTAAGGTTCTTACTCTGTCCTTATGTTATTTTTTTGTGTCTGATTTAATGGCTTTTATTCATGATGTTTGTGGACTGTTGAATCTAACATGTTTATACGTTAGTTTGTGACAATCAGGCAAACTAATATCACTCAAATTTGAATGTTAATAGGACACTTTTTGTTTGTATAGGGAAGGTCTGGAGCCCCTGGGGTGAGTGGACCTAAGGGCTTGAAGGTGATTCCACTTAAACAATTACAGTATATTCATTAGTCTAATTTTAAATTTATGTATCACTTCATATGACACCAGACCAACTAAGACTAATACTTAAAGGATGATATATATTATTTTTGCAAGTTAAAGTATGAATATTGGTGAATGTCAGTGTCAAGGTCAGTATAGTTTACAAGAAGTTTCATTCACACCATCCACAATGGAAACGCTTACAGGGAAAAAACTGCTAAAAGATCTCACTGTCTGTGTCCCATCTCAGGGAATTCAAGGTCATATGGGAAACAGGGGACAAGATGGAGCTCTTGGAGCCCTGGTAAAGCCCTCTACTAACATTAAGTTACTGTAACACCTGTAACAGGACAGATATGTGATCAACTAACATCATCTTTCCATCAGGGACGCACTGGTGCAAATGGGATGAATGGGGACACTGGATATCCAGGACCTAAAGTGAGTTCACCTCTTTATAATAAACAATTGATGATTTAGTGAATTTGCTTGCATTAAAAGTGTCACAAATGGATATCTGGTGCTCTGTCTGATAAATATCTTCCCCAGGGATTACCTGGAAAAACAGGACGTCCTGGCTTCCAAGGACCTGTAGGGAAGAATGTGAGTATTAATTATCTCTGTCTCATGGTAATGTTAGTTTTTAACTCTTGTTTACAAGGGGTTTATTAATGCACTCGCATGAGGTTTTGTAGTACACTATACTCAATATTCTGAATTACTGTACCTGAGAATGTGATGTGGATGTGATGCTACATAGCTTTTCATTTGTGTCACATTCCAGGGAAAAGCTGGCAGCAGAGGAATGAAGGGGACACCAGGAAAACCAGGCCAAAGAGTGGGTTAAACACCATCTCCACACAGCTTTTAGAAAACACATTAAAGCTTTGATAATGCAAGTCATAGAGTTTATGATACTTTGATTAAAGTCATTATGATGCTGAGAATAAAGACATTTTGGTTTTTTTTAGGGAGTTAAAGGTGAAGTAGGCCCCTGTGGACTTCCAGGAAGTGAAGGATTAAAGGTATGAGTTTGTGTGTTGGCATTACACACTGCAACATCCTGTCCTAATGGTAAAATTCTTTCACTTGGTTCCTCAGTCATGATTTGCATTTTACATTTCAATTTAATGTGATGTTGACCTTGTTGTAAAGGGTAAAATAGGTGATGAAGGACCAATGGGAAAACAAGGCGCTCCGGTAAGTAAATGATTTCCTTTTATCCGTTTCATTGCTATGGTTTTATACAGTATCAGTTCTGCTTCATGTATATCATTATTTTATCAATGCATGGTGCATCAGAGATAAGTGGTTATGTTTTTTTTCTGAGTTCTTTATTGACATTGTGTCTTGCTGTCTTTCAGGGTGAGATGGGCATGCCTGGACCACGTGGATACACAGGGCCTCCTGTAAGATGATTTCATTCCTTCCAACCACATCCATCCATCCAGTTCTTTACTTACTTTCTCATTAAAGTCAGCTTGTGTATATTATTGAAATACTGTCCATCCATGAATTACAGGTCGCTTAATGGAAAAAAAGCAGACTTTCATGCACACTGGTCAACAGTCTTTCTCCAGTTCACCTGTCTTACAGATGTGCATTAGATTATATACTATTAAAAGTCTCTAAATGGAAAACAGATGTACTTCCTTCTCGGCTTATTTTCTGTCAGCTTAGTGAAGAATTGTAGTGCTTTCAAAATGTCCTTGTCCTTTAAACAAATAAACAGCTTTTTCATCTTCAACTTTGGGTCACACTTTGGATTATAGTCCATTTATTGTTAGCTTTGAGTGTATGCTGGCACCAGTAACACTTAAAAATACCGAGCTGATCACTGACTGTTTTCCACTGCTTCTAATAGCCTTTTTGTAACTACAGTTACACCTCATTCCTGTGCACAGCATTCCGTAATGTGGCTGTTAGAGGTCTCTAAGTTTGGTGCTTTATGTGTGTGATAAAGAAAATCTCAGGTTCAGAAGAGAGGAGAAGCTCAGTCACACTTGTCTTCAAATATAGTGACGATACTGCTCCCAGCTGACATATCTTAAACCCAGATGTTATCAGAACAGAGGACCTTGGGAGGTGCCAGTTAAAGCCAGATTCCCCATACACACACGAAACCTTAATCTTCCTTACTGATGGCACTCAGTGTTCCCTAATACTAGACAGAGACACAACATATCTGTATTTTAACTCGCTGGACTCACAAAGAGTTATGCATGCATGACTTGAATTTCCCCACAGTACATTTTTCCCATTTGTGTTAGTGTTGTTTTGTAATTTAGTTGAGTATTATTGCTAATGTGTAAAGCCCGCTGGGACAGTGTGTAACATCAACTACAGAAATAAATGTGACTTGACCTGAAATCCGACACCATGCTATTTTTCTCCAGGGTATCCAGGGTAACACTGGGCAAAGCGGAGAGGTTGGACCTCGTGGCCTTCCAGGTGACCAGGGTCCACAAGGTCCAATTGGCCCACGTGGAGTTACAGGTTACCCAGTAAGTTTATTTTTATGCTTTTGTTGTCACATGTTATCTTCAGTTATCGTTGGTAGCCAGAAGTCCTGCAATAAACTAATTCTGTGAGTTCATACATTAACTTAATATAGAGAAAGCTTGGTCCTCGTGGTCATAACAATTATCTCTCTGGGTGTATGTTAAAAAAATGAAACCAATTTAAAAAATGTAACTGGTTGCTTACAGTTGCTCTAGATGTGGATCCACACTGCTGAGTCTCTTTAAAGTACCTCCACCTTTGATGCTGGTGTCAAGCCTGACTGAGGCACTACTCAGAGTTTGATTTATGAAGAGTTTTATTGTCTGTTGGCTGACAGCAGGCCTCTTGTGCCAATTGCTGACAAAAGCTTGGTCTAATAAGCAAACTGAAAGTTTCTTTCTCTCCATTTGGAAATGTTTGTCATTTTCTTCTTTGGGTTAATCATTAGACCAGGTCAAATCTGGTGATGGCAGGGCTGGTCTCAGGGTGATGAGCTGTGGTGCCATGGTAATAATAACATGATAATTTGCAAATACACATTTAAATGCATTTTAAGATCCACAAACAATGATCTCACTAAGATAACTTAGTAGCGCATGAGGATCCTGTCTTCCATTAGGGCAGTTTGAAAGAATGTTTGTAGCACAAGCAGATTAGAGTCCTTCTTGTGCACATACTTGAAAAATCTCTGAAGAAAATATTTATTGTTGCTTTATTCTGTCCATGCTTAGGGTAGAGATGGAACCCAAGGACCAAATGGATCAGCTGGAGTCAAAGGAGATAAGGTAAGGTTTTTCTTTAACTTAGCCTCTCTGAGCATGAGTCAGACATCTGCGCTTTTTGTCCATTTAAATGCACCAGAAGATGTTGTATACAAAGCAGTGAAGTAATGGAGTGGTCTGTGAAGCCATTTACTTCAGTTGAATCTCTATCTGTATCTGTATTCTGTTGTGTCTACAGGGCTCAGCGGGGGCTTTGGGGCCAGAGGGAATTGTTGGTCTCGATGGTGAGGAGGTAGATTGATTAGACTGTGTTGGTCACAGATTTAATTTTTTTTTTTTTTTTTTTTTACATAATGCAAAAGCAATAAAATAGCAGGTTGCTTAAAACACAGGTTTACAGGCCTTTCAGTTCTGTAGGGTTTGACTGCACAAAAAGACGTCTTTAACCATGTTCAGCTCGATCACATGTAGGAGTAATCCAGTTCCTTTGTGTTTAGGGACCAATCGGACTGAGGGGACCTGAGGGGCCAGCTGGACAAAAAGGCATAACTGTGAGTGAATATTAGTTTCTAAATGTGTGATTTTATTATTATTATTGATTTATTTAAACTGGGGGATAAAACTGGCACATCCTCTGAAGTCATTACATCCTCTCAAAAGTTTGAAAATGTAGCATAAAGTTACACATAGTGTATGTGGGTAGAACAATATTTCTTTGATACACTTTGGATTTATATATATTGGAGGGTGATAAGGGGAACGCTGGACCTCCTGGACTTAAAGGACCAAAGGGAACTGAAGGAGACACTGGTAATCAAGGGCCACAGGGAATAAAGGGGCCACCAGGGAAACAGGTGAGTAAGAGATAAATTGCTTTTATTAAAATTGTAATACTTTTGTTTTACAAGGTTATTTAGTCAGGGCAATGCTGCCTGCATCTTCCACTCTGATGCTGTTCTGAAAAATACATATTAAAGTCCTCAGAATCCAAAAGTCAGGAAGCTGCCTTCTAACCACTGATAAAATGTTCATGTGAAGACCCATTGGGGTGTGCTGAATATTTTTGATGTGTGGATTAAAAGGAGACACTGTGCTCACTGTCCTTTCTGTCTACCATCATTTGCAGGGATACAGTGGTGCACCAGGAGACAGAGGGAAACAGGGGGTTCCAGGGCTCAAGGTCAGTCACATCAGCCTAAAAGTGGTAGAAGCAACAGTGAAGGACCTTACCTGAGAAACTATGTTATGATTAATTCAAATGGTGGCTAATATCAAGTTATTGTTGAAGTTCTGGTACAAAATTTCTGATGTTGATGTTGATGACAAAGACCATGGTTTCACAGGGTGAGCCAGGCACCAGAGGTACATCAGGCATGCCTGGGCAGTTCGGACCAGGGGGCAACACTGGGGCAACAGGAGTCAAAGGCCAGAAAGGTTTCCAGGGACAAACTGTTAGTAACAGATTTATGTAAATTATATCAGAATTCTCGATGTGAATCATAATAAACATCATGTGATGTACGCTACTAGTCAAAATGTTGGACACACTATCCAGTACAGTTCAATGGGAAACCTTTGACTGGTAGTGTACATGTGATGTATCTAACAGTGTTACTATAAGCTATGTATAAATGTGTCACAATGTTTGGATATCATCACATAGCTGAAAATAAACACTGTAGGTGTTTTTTTTTTACAGGGCCCCCCTGGTAAAATAGGTCCTCCTGGACAAATTGGAACATCAACACCAGTATGTTTTTGATTAACTTAATATGGCAATTATATATTAATTACATGAAAATTAAGTGTTGACTATGATCAGTTAAAAGTTGCCACTTAGCTTCATACAGGCTCCACTGTAGATTTCAGCTGCTACAGTACAGCAAACACAGCTATCAGCCTGTTTCCTATACACGCACTTGTCATTTTATTAGGTACACCAAGCTAAAACTAATACAGTATAACAGAAATGTTTTAGAAGTCTGGAGGTTTGGAAGACATAATGTGTGCTGATGTTTTTTTTTCAGGGTTTGCCAGGCAACAGGGGTATTGATGGCAAAACCGGAATTCCTGGACCAAAGGTGTAATGTACCATTCGTTCATTTTGATGCACTGTAATGTTCTTTGGTGTATAGTAAGTGTGATCTGTTCAGTTATAGATAACTGGCCTTTATTTCTGTCTCTGCTGTGTTTGTGCAATTCAGGGCAGCCCTGGTGAGAAGGGCACATCCGGCCTATCTGGCATCAAAGGAAACATGGTAGGACTTCATTATGAAATCCCTGCCCTGCGGACATCATTAATCTGATCAAGCATATTTAACAGTGTGTATGAAGATGTAACAACTGTGATGCAATGAGTTTATATAACTCTGTATTCCCCAGGGGATAAGAGGTCGAAAAGGTGCAAAAGGGGAGCCTGGGGCACAAGGACCACTGGTAAGATAGCTTATTTGAAATGTAAAAGCTTGGTTTTACAATTTTCGGCCTTTATAAATAGGCCACTCACTGTTACTGAAGGCTGTGATATTTTATGAATTATAATTCTATACTGGTTGTAGTGTCATTTAAATATGACTGTATCTTTTAGGGTACAGTGGGAAAGATGGGGTTCACAGGCTCTCCAGGTGCTAAAGGTCCACCTGGGCCTGTTGGTCCTCCTGGTCTTCCAGGAGCTAAAGGAATTCAGGGACCAAAGGTGAAAGGAAGTACCTCTCAGCTCAGATAAAAATCTAAAGCCCAGTCTGTACCTTTTAATTCTTAAAGTAAATGTGTCACAATGAAAACATAAGGCTTTCGCCTGACTGGTCTCTTTTAACTGTTAATTACAGTTTTTGGTGCATAAGAGCAACTGAATTATGAGGTTTATTTTCTATTACTGTGTATTTAAAGGGAAAAAGAGGCCAGTCTGGAAGGAAAGGGGACAAAGGAGCCCCTGGAAAAACTGTGAGTTTAATTTAAATGGCTTTTTAAAAATCATCTTAAAAGATTGTTCTAATACACATCCTACAATGCAAATATTGCAAAATTCAGCAGTCACTGAATTAAACTTTACCTCTCTCAAATAAAAATGAGACAGAAGATATGGCCAAACTAGAAAACTATTAACATTTTGTATAGTCACTTGTGCAGCTGACACATTAAGAACTGGATATAAAGTCAGTGCTCCTGCCTTTTTGAAAGTATTTGTGTTTACTTGCTGCCTACAATTTTGTGCAGTACTTTAAAATATCTTTATAGCACTTATTGCAAATTATTCTAATCTCAGTCACTGTTTTTGGAAAAAAGATGGCTAAAAATATTTACATTTAATTAAAGGTATGATTGAATAACTCAGTCTAATATCTGCTTTGGGCCTTTCATATCCAAGTTCTTCTAATCCATCTGTTTTGAAGGGAGCTGAGGGCCCACTGGGGAGGCCAGGACCACCCGGGAAACCTGGAACACCCGCAAGTATCCCTTATAAAATGCATACTTATATCACCAAGTTTGTTACAAAATGACATGCAGACTAAAAGGTTCATTTTGCATTGTGTCATAAGTTGTCATTACTTAGTTGTATTTTAGCACATATAAAAAAATTAAAGGTGCATTACCACAATTTTACACTTTGTCTGATAATTCAAGTGAAAATAGGACATGGTGTTTCTCCACTATCTTAACCTCCACCATGACACTCTGCTGCCTACAGCACTTTTGTTTTTATTCCAGCTTCTCTACCCTGTGTTTCAAAACATGGTCTGTAAATTAGCCCCGCCTGCCACCTAGCAAAGGTTATAAGAATAGCTTTCAAACTGCAAGTATAAGTATTCATTTCAAACAGCCAGTCATAGAGGACCTCTCATAGGCTAAAAGTCAGAAACAGTGACTGCATCAAAAGTTAACTGGTTTGTTTTGGAAAGATTAATGACCTAGCATGGTCATGATTTTACCTTTGTATTAAATTTAAATGATTTTCTACCGCTACCGCTTAGTCCCTGAACGGGGTCACGGGGCGGGGGCCGGAGACTAAATGATTTTAATTTGGAAGTAATTTGAGCTTTGTGTCATATAAACAGTAACGAGAGCCTTCTACTGGATTTACAAATGTATTCGCTAGCTATGGACTGGAGGCCAGATTTTGCACAGTTTGTCACAACCAGACATCTGTTGTTTACGTTGTTGCTAGAAAACAGGGTGGGATGGGAGGGCCACCATGTGGTTAGGAGCCGTTTACAGTGTCAGTTAGTTTTGGGTCTCTAGTGGCTGAAAAGAAATGACATATAGTAGCTTTAAAATGATGAATGTGTTGATTATCAACTGTATAAAATATGGACGCCATGACAGCTCCCAGAATTTGTTAATCGATGATACAAAAAGATGCTGTCAATCCACTTCTGGTCACTGCTGTGCAGAATCTGTATGCAAAAAAGAAAGATGGCAGCCAATGTTTTCACAGTTTTGATTTCATTTTTGCATAGTTGAGGGAAGTGGTGATGCCATGTCCATTGTATATACAGTGCCTTGCGAAAGTATTCGGCCCCCTTGAACTTTGCGACCTTTTGCCACATTTCAGGCTTCAAACATAAAGATATAAAACTGTAATTTTTTGTGAAGAATCAACAACAAGTGGGACACAATCATGAAGTGGAACGAAATTTATTGGATATTTCAAACGTTTTTAACAAATAAAAAACTGAAAAATTGGCCGTGCAAAATTATTCAGCCCCCTTAAGTTAATACTTTGTAGCGCCACCTTTTGCTGCGATTACAGCTGTAAGTCACTTGGGGTATGTCTCTATCAGTTTTGCACATCAAGAGACTGAAATTTTTGCCCATTCCGCCTTGCAAAACAGCTCGAGCTCAGTGAGGTTGGATAGAGAGCGTTTGTGAACAGCAGTTTTCAGTTCTTCCCACAGATTCTCGATTGGATTCAGGTCTGGACTTTGACTTGGCCATTCTAACACCTGGATATGTTTATTTGTGAACCATTCCAATGTAGATTTTGCTTTATGTTTTGGATCATTGTCTTGTTGGAAGACAAATCTCCGTCCCAGTCTCAGGTCTTTTGCAGACACCATCAGGTTTCCTTCCAGAATGGTCCTGTATTTGGCTCCATCCATCTTCCCATCAATTTTAACCATCTCCCCGGTCCCTCCTGAAGAAAAGCAGGCCCAAACCATGATGCTGCCACCACCATGTTTGACAGTGGGGATGGTGTGTTCAGGGTGATCAGCTGTGTTTCTTTTACGCCAAACATAACGTTTTGCATTGTTGCCAAAAAGTTCGATTTTGGTTTCATCTGACCAGAGCACCTTCTTCCACATGTTTGGTGTGTCTCCCAGGTGGCTTGTGGCAAACTTTAAACGACACTTTTTATGGATATCTTTAAGAAATGGCTTTCTTCTTGCCACTCTTCCATAAAGGCCAGATTTGTGCAGTATACGACTGATTGTTGTCCTATGGACAGAGTCTCCCACCTCAGCTGTAGATCTCTGCAGTTCATCCAGAGTGATCATGGGCCTCTTGGCTGCATCTCTGATCAGTCTTCTCCTTGTATGAGCTGAAAGTTTAGAGGGACGGCCAGGTCTTGGTAGATTTGCAGTGGTCTGATACTCCTTCCATTTCAATATTATCGCTTGCACAGTGCTCCTTGGGATGTTTAAAGCTTGGGAAATCTTTTTGTATCCAAATCCGGCTTTAAACTTCTCCACAACAGTATCTCGGACCTGCCTGGTGTGTTCCTTGTTCTTCATGATGCTCTCTGCGCTTTAAACAGACCTCTGAGACTATCACAGTGCAGGTGCATTTATACGGAGACTTGATTACACACAGGTGGATTCTATTTATCATCATTAGTCATTTAGGTCAACATTGGATCATTCAGAGATCCTCACTGAACTTCTGGAGAGAGTTTGCTGCACTGAAAGTAAAGGGGCTGAATAATTTTGCACGCCCAATTATTCAGTGTGCTAATGAAATTGGTCTCTTGTTTTGTGATCATTTTCTCAGGGCCTGAGTGGTTTGGATGGGTTACTGGGAGTCAGGGGTAATGAGGGAGATCCGGTAAGAAACACTGATCATCCTCCAGTTTATTCTGTTGTCCAATTGGTTTTACTAAATTAAATTTCTCCCATGCTCACTGTGAAGGGTGATGTTGGTGTCAGAGGAGCACCTGGAACACCTGGAAGGCCTGGCAATATGGTGAGCTCACTAAAGACATGGAAAATATGCAACTGTGCACCATGTTCTTCCATTCAGAAAGATGCATTTTGTGATATTACTTATGTCTAGGGAAAACCTGGGCCTCCTGGGATTAGGGGAAACACTGGACCAAAAGGGTTTAAGGTAAAGTAGCACATCATTTATATAAATGACAGGTGAATAATGCAATAACCTAACATGCTGCTGACCTGATTAGGTCCCATACATCCCTTTTTATTTGTTCATATTTTTATATTGACTTATACAATTGTGTGTTATGCAAATAATATGTCTGTCTTTTAAGCCGAGAGCTGCCGGGAAAAAATTCGTTGTGTTATGCATAATGACAATAAAGATTCTTGACTTGACTTGACTTGATAATGATTACTTTTCATGCAGTTGTATTACTGATATCCTATTGTATCTCGCAGGGTAAAACCAGATCGAAAGGAGTGCATGGACCTCCTGGACCGATTGGGCCAAAGGTATACAAATTTGTTTAACAACAGCTTATAAAGTAAGTAAGTTAGAAACTTAGACTAACACCTGTTCATGTGAATGTCTGCATCATTACTGACATTGATACAGGGCATTCAAGGACTGAGAGGAGAGAAAGGTGAATCTGGAAGTCTTGGTACAAAGGTAAAGACAGTGTAGGCTCCTGACCTCAAAATGAATTTCTTTAACATTTAAGGTATTTTTCTTATTCTTATACTGTGCATCCATGCTTCTAAATACTACATTACTTATACAGTATACTCACACCAAAGTAACCAAACTGGCAGCTGTGTGCACCACAGAGAACTTTAAAAAATGTTGTCCTTCAGGTGTAGTGAGCTGCAAAGCTTCAAAGCTGTTACTCTACACTCCAACAGAACCCATACAGAAATTAAAATTGCAATCATGTAACTGTTGAAGGAGGAATTTGTAAGTCATTTTTGGTTTTCTTTGTATACAAGGGTCTCTCCGGTGACACAGGGATACCAGGACCAGTTGGGCCACCAGGGCTAAAGGTTGGTTGAAATTATTTTAAAAAATAAAGTAATTTTAATGCATAAGCACAATTTCATGTTGATTACATTTCTGTTTTTGATCTTAGGGAAATCCTGGTTTGCAGGGGCTGAAAGGGCAACTTGGTCCTAAAGGAAAGCAGGTGTGTTCTGCCTTAAATTGTCTTGCACCATTTCTATATTTGGTAGCAAGGTATTAAGTAAAAAATATTATTAAATCAATAAAACATGTGTCGGATTTCTCAGGGGGATGCTGGTAGCCGTGGTCCACCTGGGCAAAAAGGCTTCCCTGGACCACCTGTATGTCATGTTAATATTCTGCCATTTTTAATTGTCTATTGAAGTATTTTACTCAGGTGCTTCCTAACTGTCTTTTACACAGGGCCAGCATGGAAAAAAGGTAAGAAACTGTTTATGACATTTTTTATTTTTTGTTAATATTAGACTTTTCAATTTTATGGATCTTTATTGACCTGAACTGGTCAAAATTAAGGTGGAATGTCTGTCATCTATTGTGCCTTTATTGGTACCTTGTGTTCCAAATACTGAGATATTCATCATGTATTAGTTGACTCCAGACAGTCTGACTGTGTTTGTGCCTTTACAGGGAATGAAAGGTATCCAAGGCAGGAGTGGACCAAAGGGAGTGAAGGGAAGGCGTGGGCCTCCAGTAAGACATTATGCACACACAGTACAAGTAGACAAATAAATATATGTTCCACTTGGTCCACAAATTTAACTGCAGCATACTGTAAGGATTGAAGGTGCATTTGGTGCTTAAAGGCCCTGAATATTGCTTAACTGCTCATAGCATGTACCATGCTCTTAACGCAAAGTCATTTCTGTTACAGGGAAAACCAGGTGCACCAGGCAGGCTTACACAAAGACAAAGCTCCAAACCAGGTCAAAGAATTGACAGACAAACACCCAGCCTCAAAAAGCAAAGAGAAGAACAACAAAAAGTTGGTACAAATTTTCTTCTCTTATAAACTATATTTGCACAGTGTCCTGGGACTATTTGCATCCAGTTGTGTTTTATATTCATAGACCGGTATTATGATTGATAGTTGGCTGAATGCTTGGTTATCACTTTGAATGACTGAATGATGGCTTCCTCTGTAGCAGCCCAGGCCAGTGTCCAGCATATGGTCTCAAGGAGCTGAGGCTGAGGAATCCTTCAGTTGGCCCCAAGGAACCAAAGATGATCCTGCCACCACCTGCTATGAGCTAGGGCTCATACACCCACATCTGAAGGATGGTGAGGGTATGCAGGGCTCATAACCCTCATCTGCCACTGATTATACACTCTGTATGAAATTAGTCTGGACAAATTTCCATTATCTTTCAGGATACTTTTATATGGACCCCAACCAAGGCTGTCCCTGTGATGCTGTGAAGGTGTTCTGTAACTTCACAGCAGGAGGAACAACCTGTATTAATCCTTTAAAGTCACAGGTACATTAATTTTCACCAAGGGTTAAGATTAGCAGGCTGAGTATTGTGTGAATGATTCCTGTGGTAGACTATAGCACAATTAGAAAAACATAGAAAACATTCAACCCCTTGTTTCCAACTGCAGCAACAACACGAAATGACTATATGGTTTCACATCACAATATACATAGTATAGATAGAACATACCGTCTAACATGGCTAGTCAGATGAGATTGCCTCAGTCTCCCACAGCACGTTTGACTTCTTCCTACTCCATTCAAACATGTACTAGGTATAAGCAAAGCTATAGTATGTAATTTTTCTCAGATATGTTTGTTGTAGCAATATGCTCTAAAACATGTCTTAAAGTGGAGAGGTGCTGTCAAAGCCTCCTGTGATTGAACAGCAATGACAGCAGTGCTGAGATATTAGCTTCTAAAAGGTTCTTCAGCAAGACTGACCTCTAAAGATTTTCAGGGTGCTTTTCCTGGATCAGAATTTTGTTGCATTCTCATTTCTAATAATTTCATAATGACAAATATCTGAAGAGCTGGGAAGAGCTTGACAGAGCATAGTAGAGCATAGTGGAGCAGGGAGAGAGTGCTGGGCAGAGTAGAGTGCATTGATTTGGAGTATCATGCTAGTGCTACCTTATGTTATATACTGTAGCTTTAATTGAGTTTTCAGCTAATTCCAAATAGTCAGAGTTGGCTTAGAATAGTAAAAATAGATTCTGGGATAGAAGGAGCTACATACAGTATTCTTATTTCTGATGTATTTAATTACATAAATATGTGGGTGCTATGAATGGCTTTAGAAATAAAACTAATGCTCTGTTATGTAGATTACATTTAGATGGGAACCAGAAAAACACAAATCAAAGTCTGCCTACTGGTTCAGTCAGCAACATGGTGGAGACAAAGTAAGACTAATACATTTATAAACCGATTGAGAAATATTTATTGCATCTAATAGCAGTGAGCTATTTCCACAGTCTTAAAATGAATGATTTCTATCGTTAACAGTTTGAGTACCCTGGTGTGGATGTTGTACAGCTGAGGTTTCTGCGGTTCCACAGCCACACGTCTTTCCAGAGCATGACTGTGAGCTGCACAGAAAACCACTCCAGTACTGCTCACACAACTGAATCAGCCAACAGGATTATTCACTTCCTGGGAGACGCTGGCAAAGAAATTGATTCAGACTTTATCAGTGTGTCCAGAAAAGGGTGTGAGGTAAGACTACAAGATTTTGTTAAGGTTAAAAAAAAAGCTTTTTCTTTCAGTTTAGCAGCATTTTTTGATTATTAATAAACAATGCAAATACCTTTAATGTTACTGTGATGCGTGGAAAAGGAACAGAAAGACAGACTGTGGTAGACTCCAGACAAAACTGGAACTGGACTTATACCATCTCTAAGACCCTTTTTTTCTTTCTTTCTGGATTAAAGAATATATGTTATTGAATACTTACAAAGGTTTTGGGTGCAAATTAGTAAGTATAAATCAGTCAGGTAATATTAGTGTGAATTAATCAAACACTGTTTGAACACTGCATACTTTTCCTGGTTTGTCACTGAATGCTCCCAAGTAGATTGTACATCACCACTGTACTATAATTACAGGAGCATAGTTACTGGGAGAATTAATTAATCAATAGTATATTTTAGATTGTTTGTAAAAGCTTTGGTCCACAAGCAAATTAATTTCCTACCTACCCATAACTCCACCATAAAAGGGTTCAGTGGCTGAATTAGGATATACTGTACATTCAGAAAATAAAAATACTACACGTTCTTGTTGTGTCCCATCATTTGTTTTATCATTTTGCAGAAGGAGATGGTTGTGAGGGTCCGGGGGAGCACGGAGTTACATCGAGGTGATATGGAGTTACTTCCTGTCAGAGACCTGGGTGTAGATGTAAAGGGAGTAACTCCTCTCATCCCTGAGATCACAGTTGTTTTGGGACCCCTCTGCTTCTTGTGACCTATGAGTAGTGTGTGTGTGCGCCTTTGTATTACTTACATTATGGGGACCAAAACTTGTTAACACATTCACATTGTGGGGACTCGGCCATCTTGGTCCCCACAAGGAAATCACTGAATTTTATGGTGGCAACATGGTTTAAGGTTAAGGTGAGGTTAAGGTTAGGGAAGTAGTGGTTATGGTTAAGGTTAGGATAAGTCTACAGGAAATGTCTGTTCAAATTCTCAGTCATCCAGGTCGTAGTATGCTGAGGGTTAAGTGTTAGGGTTAGGAAATTAATTTTCTATAGGAAATGAATGTAAGTCAATGTAAAGTCCCCACAAGGAATGAAAACAAAGCAGTACTGTGTGTGTGTGTGTGTGTGTCTGTGAGAGAGAGAGCATTTCTGTAAACTATCTCTTTAAGCAAGGATATATGGTGTCTGGGTATTTTACATGAACAATACCTGTTTTACTGGTGTACTGTATTTTTGTATATTTATTGAATTATCAAGCTAAATGAAATTTTACCTTGTGAATGTTTTTAAATATTGCTGATAAATGTTTGTGTGGCACCAAATGTTGAAAATCAACTATGAATTTAATGTTTGTCATTTTTTTCAGTTTTCCATCCTCCTCACAGTGACAATGGTGTGAAGCACTATCAAAATAAAATGATCACTTCTAACATGTGGAATGAAATCAGGCATTGCGCATCAGTTTTATTTGTCAGTGATTTGTACTGAGTCTGTCTGTGTCATTGAATGTGTAGGTTGACATTTTCTACCAATCATGCTAAAGTTTGCCACTGATAGCACAGGACATGCTGCCCTCTTGGTGTCAAGATAGAAAACACCATTATTCAGAATCTATAGTTGAATAAATACTTTTCCTTCTATTGAACCAGCTGAGTGCTTGACTGGGAAAATGTGTTTTTCATCAAAGAACAATAAGAAAATTTGCTCTTTATTTTAAAAGGAAGTTGTTTCTCTCCCTAGTGCTACCAGTTACTGGAGTAGGTATATACATGGCATTAACTGGACCAAAGTATGGTGTCTACCTCAGAAATACATTGTGGTAAATACAGTGAAAGATGTGGCATATAAAGTTTTTCACAGATGCTATCCAGCAAAACGTTTTCTAAAGAAATGTTGTTGGTGGCCACTTAGAAAGTTTAAGCCATTTAATTTGGAAAGATGTCTGCAAACTCATATGTAATAATTTCATATCTGATTTTAACCTCAAGTTTGAATATCTAGTTTTTGGTGCTCATAGTTATTGTACAAGATGTTTACATGGAGAACATCAATTTTTAGTTAACAGAACTGTCCATGGTAAACATTTTCTGCACAAATGCAAATCTGAAAAAGCAAACCCTGCTTTGTACCTTTTTGTGATTAACACTACATAAAGACTAGTCTACATAAAGACTATTTGCTCTTCTAACAATACAAAAGCTTTGAAGACGTTTATACTTTGTCAAAAACATCAGGTCTTTATTCAGAAAATGTAACTTTCCTTTTATTTTATTCTATGTATTTATCTTCCATTGGTTTCTTTCTTGTTTTACCGCTGGCACTGTTCTGCTGTGTTTCATCACATTATATTTTTATATTGTGCAATAAAGTTGTTGTTTTTTTCTCTTCGTGTTTAGTTTACACTAGTGGTGTTCGCGGGTATTATTTACTCGCATCATCTTTTGGCTTTGTAACTCAACATAATCAAAGAATTTTAATCTAAAACAATGTAATAATCAACTCTAATAATCAACAGATGTTTACATTTACCCTTTACCTTTGTTAGATTACATTACATAAGGGTTAAAACATCAGACATTGGGGGGGCGGTGACGTCGAAAGGAAGACACGTGTTCGACCAATCGGTGTTGACTCCGGTGGGCATCATCTCCTCCTTTGTAGGAGGTTGGAATCAGTTTAGACTTATGATTTGTGGAGTGACACACCAGAGTTTGAGTTCAGTACAGTTGGATGTCAGCTGAATAAGAGCGCAGTTGGCAGTTAAACCGAGTGAGTATTGACGAAGTCAACAGGCCGCGTCTTTATATTCTCCTGGTCTGAGACAACTTTTATATCAAGCTGTTCCGTAGCGAACTAAAGATGTCAAAAAGTTGGCTAATTTCACTTGCCTCAGCTCCTACCTGCTGTTAACAGCCCAGACTGTAATAATGTTAATCTTACATTATCAGTAAACCGGCTGACTATTTTAGTTTGCTTGTATTTAATCGTCTCCTGTCACACTGACTCAGCTGACGGGAGCTAAATGAGCTGTACCTGCTGTCTCCGTGTCATGTGAGACGGATTTGATTGGCAAATATGTGTGTGTTGCCTCTCAAATTTAATTCGTTATCTGTGTAAGCTGGTACACAACAGCGATGTGTTTACTGCCGTGAGCTCATTTCTTCATGTGGCTTCAAGACATCATAACTTAACTTTGATAATGCGCCCAGCGTTAATTTTTAACCTAGGCTTCCTGTTACTTTAGGATGGAGAGCGGGGGTGTCCTTCGCTGCCGAGCCATTCCGAAGATGCCCATCTCCCCTGACAAGTGTTTGGAAGGGGAATGTTGTCCAGGAGAACATCACCAAAACACCAGAGACAACCACACTGCTGATAATGGTAAGACCTTAACTCCCTTATCAGCAGGGCTAAGAAAGAGGACATTGACCTCTTACTGCACTGAATATTTAGATTAATGCGCATGTTGACTCAACCCATCCATCCATTTCCTCCGCTTATCCGGGACCGGGTCACGGGGGCAGCAGTCTAAGCAAAGATGCCCAGACTTCTCTCTCTCCAGACACTTCCTCCAGCTCCTCCGGGGAAATGCTGAGGTGTTCCCAGGCCAGCTGAGAGACATAGTCCCTCCAGCGTGTCCTGGGTCTTCCCCGGGGCCTCCTCCCGGTGGGACATGCCCCGGAACACCTCCCTAGGAAGGCGCCCAGGAGGCATCCGAAACAGATGCCCGAGCCACCTCAGCTGGCTCCTCTCGATGTGGAGGAGCAGCGGTTCTACTCTGAGCTCCTCCCGGGTGACCGAACTCCTCACCCTATCTCTAAGGGTGCGCCCGGTACATCGACCGCATTACTGCAGAAGCTGCATCGATCCGCCTGTCAATCTCCCGTTCCATAGATTGACCAGTAAATCGAGAGCTTCGCCTTACAGCTCAGCTCCTTCTTCACCACGACGGACTGGTACATCGACTGCATTGCTGCAGAAGCTGCACCGATCCGCCTGTCAATCTCCCGTTCCATCCTTCCCTCACTCGTGAACAAGACCCCAAGATACTTGAACTCCTCCACTTGAGGCAGGAACTCCCCACCAACCTGAAGGGAACTCAACCCTTACCTGCCTTTTTCATTTCATTACAATTTCTTTAAAACACTTGTCTGTTGTCTCAGTTGGGACAACATAAGTTCTCTGTATATTTAGAAAAATGTTACTGAATATTCTAGCAGTAAAGGTTTGGGAACAAGAAGAGTTTGAATTGAGTAAGCACGTAGTGTACTGCATAGGCTTCCTGTCTTTGTTACACTGTTGTTACATTTTCTTTGTTACAGTAATTGTTGACACTTTGTTAGGTTGGTGGAACGCTATAGTTGCTTGCCATTCTTTGTTTGACCTCAGTAACTGAACAAACCTGTCCTTCACTGGACAGCTTTCAACACTAATACCTTTCATTTCAAATGTTTTCTGAGGTGTCAGACAGTAGACACTTGCTCCACACTGTCTTCAAGTTTCCCATGGATAGCCACCCTGTTGGCCATTTATTAAAATATGTGGCATGGTGTGTGTGTTACCTGGTTCTATTAAAGCAAGGTAACCTGGCAACTCTGTTGGCTCTGTTGTTAATTTGCACAGAATATTGATACTGAAAGATTGCAAAGCTGTATGTTGATGATTTTTAACTTTATCATATGCCTCAGACTTGTGTGTCCTGTCTCCAGTTTCAGGAAAAATTGAAGTGGAACAGGTGATCAGTAAAAAGCTGCAACTGAAGAAGAAAGCAGAGGTTAGTAGGTCGGTAATTTGGGTTAAAAAAAGGCTCAGCCTGCATGTTGTGCTATTTGAATCCTCCAACGGGAAAATGCTTTTTAAATTGGATTTCCTTTAATGGATGTATTGCTATTTTGTCATCCTGCTGTAAATCAGTCATTTATTGACACACAGACAAAATACAGTACTTTTTAGTTTTGTCTGGTTTATTTCCACCAACATCAGGTTGTTAGTACTGGCTGTTGACATAAAAAGAAACACAGATCAGATGCACAATATTGCCAGCAAATCAAACCTGTCTGCTACACATACTGCAGGTTTGGAAAGCATGAAAGAACTCAAATTTACAGTGTAGCTAATAATAATACTCTGCCACAAAGGCTTGTGTGCGTTATGTGAAAATGTGTGTTGTTGGCAACTCATGCTGTCTAAGTGCACACTACAGCCATATTATTGTAAAACAGTTTTTTTTTTTCATTACTACATTTTTGTTGTTTATCTAATGCTCTTATCCAGTTCAGCTGCTGATGACTGAGTAAGTGGTTCAGTGGGTTTAGACGATTGAGACACTTGAGCGGTTTTGAAAAATTAAAAGCAAAGTTAATGTTATCGAAATAATGAATCTTTGCAAAACAACTCCAAATTTGCATATTCAAGAAGAACATCATTACTGTCACAGAAATGCTACAAAGTCCATATTTGTCCAAGTGTTTTCATATGTGAGTATTTTTTTCTGTCCTTTTCTATTGCTCAGTACCTGAAAAGCGACCTGATGCTCCAGTTTGATAGTCAGGTCAGTGACCTCATGGACAGTCTTATTGAGGAGGCAACCAGCCTGGAGCCTGCACCTGTATCTGCTGGCTTCTCACCTCCACTGTCAGAAAAGGAGAGGAGCAAACTCAGGTATTACCATTCACGTTGCTTTAAACAGGGCATTTTATGGGATTAGAGCACATGTGAACAATCTTTCCCCATTTCACACATGCGCCTGTCCTCTAGAAATAATAGATTTGCTGGTCACCGTTGTCACTCTGCTTTCTTTTAGGCATTTCCAGTCTCCTCATGGCCAGGGAAAGCAGTTTGTCAGTCGCCGGTCTTACCTAGAGTAAGATGACACTTTGATATTAAGGTCATATAAATATCAGAGCATTTGTGTAGATACTAATTTTCCTGTTTTATGTTTTTCCTCAGTGAGCTTTTTGAGGTGAATCACCTCAGGACCATCTACCACATTTTTGTTGCCGTGCTCTTTGTCTTTATTCTCAATACACTTGTGGTAGATTCCATTAATGAAGGCAGGTAATATAAGACTGCTACTTGTGCTTTTGTTTTCTGTTCATGTCTGTTGAGTCAGATAACTTGACAAATTGCCATTTTTGATTACTTTGCTCTTCTTTATGAAATAAATTCCTGTAATTGATATCACTTTTGAACTTGCTAAGTTAATATGTCCTAACAAGAGCCTTCTGTCCTTTGTCCTTTGCCCCTTGCCCCAGGCTGGTGCTGGACTTTGACCTGCTAGTCTATACATTTGGACAGCTCCCCCTGGTGGTGTGCACATGGGTCTGCATGTTCCTGTCTGCGTTGGTGGTTCCGTACACTCTGTTCAGTCTGTGGTCACAGACCCAGTCTGGGTCTTACAGTCACCCTGGGTTGTACAGTTTAGTGTTTGGCTCTGTATTCCTGCTTTACCAGGCTCTGGGTCTAGGATTCCTGCCTGCTTATGTGGTGGTGACCAACAGTTTGCCACCTGCATCAGCCGCCATTGTCACCCATGAACAGGTGGGTGACTAGCACATTTGACCAGTATAATGAGTAGGGACACATCTACTTGCTTTATGTAAAACCTTTTTCAAATGTCTTTTGAAGTGTGCTGTATAAACTCCCCTTTTTGACCCAGATACGCCTAATGATGAAAGCCCACTCCTTTGTCAGAGAGAATGTACCAAGATTTCTGTCGTGGTCTAAAGACAAGACCAGTATGTAACTTTCTAACTACAGCATATTTTTTGTTCTCTTTCTTTTTTCTGTGTATCCATATGCAGTTTCTATCTCATAGCAACTGTGTTCTGATTGATAAGCAGTCTCTGCTATCTTCTACAGGTCCAGGTTCAGTGGTCCCTCAGGTTTCCCAGTATCTCTACTTCCTGTTTGCACCCACACTCATCTACAAAGACAAATACCCCAGGTAAACACACCCTCTCTTCATCTGTCATTTGGCATTTTTAATGTTCTATTGAGAGCAAAACATAGTTGCCTTGCATAAAATAGGGCATGTTCCTTGTTTCTCACTTGCAGGAACCCAGTGATCAGATGGGGCTATGTGGCCTCAAATTTTCTTCAGGTACCAATTTCTTTCACATCTAAGGCTGACCTAACTTGGTCTCACTTATGATTGCAAGCAAACAGTATTAGCCTATTTTCTGAGAGTTCCAGTCGTCCACCCCACAGGTACTGGGCTGCGTGTTTTATTTGTATTACGTGCTTCTGCGGCTGTGTATCCCTCAGTTCCACGGCATCAGTCAGCAAATGTTTGACCTGAAGGCTGTGGTCCTCTGTGTCTTTAACCTCATTCTACCAGGTAAAAATGAGTGTTTTCTCACATAAACACCCAGTCTTACATTTTTTCTAGATATTTTAAAATGGATTTTTCCTTCATGAAGATGGGAGATGCAGGATTGTTGCAACAGCATGACAAATGTAGTTTCTTTCTTTGCAGGAATGTTGTTTCTCCTTCTAGGATTCTTTTCTGTCATCCACTGTTGGTTCAATGCATTTGCTGAAATGCTTCGTTTTGCTGATAGGATGTTTTACAAGGTATTGTCATCCACTGAAAAATGTAGATGTATGTTGAATCAAATGTCCATCTGTTTTCTTCCGCTTATCCGGAACCGGGTCGCGGGGGCAGCAGTCTAAACAGAGATGCCCAGACTTCTCTCTCTCCAGACACTTCCTCCAGCTCCTCCGGGGGGATGCCGAGGCGCTCCCAGGCCAGCTGAGAGTTGTATTAAACCTTATTTAAAGTCTATGTGTTTCCCATCATACACAGCTTTTAACAT